CTACACCTAACCTCAACATTGCTCGTCCGGTTACACCACCAGATTCGTGCAGTGCGACGTAGATAGCGGAGTTCGAACACCGACAGTCTATTTATCCCGTTCCCACAGAGGCCAAGTCTCTGCACCGTAAAGCAGCACTGGCCGAATTACTGCAGCATACACTCGACCCTTCACAGACAGCCGGATGTCGCGACGGTGCCACAGATGTCTCAAGTTGGCAAATGCCAGCCCGGCCTTTTGTATGCGCGCCGAAACTTCATCTGTGACGCGTCCGCAGGTGAGATATAGCTTCTCAGATAGTAAAATCTGTCTTCTTCTTCTACTACTTCCTCAGTCAGGATGAGATTCAGGCCTGGACCAACCCAACTTTGTAGCACCATTTTGCACTTTGAAGGAGTAAAATGCCAAACATGATTAACGTAGCACTCAAACTATCTAGAAAAGCTTGCAACTTACCTGGATCTTCAATTAGCAGCACACTGTCGTCTGCATACTCCAGAACAGACAGTCTGTCATCTGGGAGCAAGTCGATACCGCTATCGTCGCACGACGATAGGGCTGTTTCAATAATTAAATATATTGTTCCAATTGTTGTTTGGCAGATTTGAAGTTTTTATGTCGATTGCGAAAAAGTCAGTAACCTCGACGCGTACGAAGCGCAGGCAGCGTCCATGCGTCCATCGAAGCAACTGAACTTTTCACAGTCGACATTCAAATTAAATATATGACAAAGTTCAATAGAAAAGGGGAGAGAGGTCAACCCTGACGAACACCACTTTCCGTGATGAACTCAGGTAAAAACGAGCCGTAAGCTCGCACTGGACTTTGACTATTAGTATAAAAGGGTTATAATATTAAAATAAACCTCTCGGACAGACCCTCTAGAGCGAGGCAGAGCCAAAGTTTGGAGCGGTTGACTGAGTCGAAGGCCGCTTTCAGATCGCAAAAGATAGAAGTCGTGGGTCTAAGACTTGTTCACTCTTCACGAGCGGTAGGCAATCGACGGAGTATGATTCCAGCGAGAAGTTTAGAGACGATGTTGACTAAACTAATTCCTCTGTGGTTTTCACAAGAGAACCTGTGGTCTTTCTTGTGAATCGGTATGATCACCAATTCACACCATTCAGTTGGACCCTGTTCTCTCTTCCACACTGGGCCCAGGAGCTTTGTTAACTCCGAGACTAAGGGTAAAATTCCATCCTTAAGAACCGATGGGGACAGCCCGTCTGGACTGGAGGCCTTATGCCTTTTGAAGCAGCCCATTTCTCGTGAAACCTCCATTTCAGATGGAGGACTGGCATCGACCGGCAGAATCGGCGCAGTCGTGGTGGAGAGTGACAGTTCAGATGTCGATGGGGACCAGTGAAACTGAACCTTGAAATGTTCAGCCCATGGATCCAGATGGCGTTGCTGATCGTGAATCAATGTGCCGTTGGATTCCCTAATTACCTCACTTACACCTATTTTCCTAGTGCCCGTATTCCTAATTAGACGAAAAAGATTGCGACTAGTACCAATAGCCGCAGTCTTCTCCATCTTTCTACACTTTCCTATCCACCACTTCTTGCGGTCATTCCTCAGACTCTTGATGAGCTGGCGTTTGAGGGATTTGCGCACTGTGTCATCGGGAGGGAGGGTTCTGCGAGCTTTCAGCAGGATAGCCGAGGTCGACGACATCCATCGTTTGTGTTTTGAGCATGTGGCAGGGTCCGACATTGTTTTATCGATATTTGCATAGCTCTCTTGATTTGCTTCCAGCGTTCGTTGAATCCTTCGGCTGGTGATTGAGCAGATGGGCGATCAGAGAGTTCCGCTTCAAAGGCCGATTTGCAGCAATCACTGATGCTGTATCGTGGGTACCCGTTGACGGTGGCTTTCTTGAGATGTCCGTTGACCGAGCACTTTGGAGCAGTTGAGAGAGATCCTTGTAGAATTCATCCTTGATTTCAGGTGCACTGCAATCGGTCGGTGCATACACCGATACGACGAATAAGCACCGACCTTTGCTGAGTCGTTGAGACGTACAGCGCACAATGGGCTACTGACTGGAATCCAGTCAAGAAGCGAGTACTCCGCCTTGGCACTTAGAGCAATCCCAACATCAGCGACACCGTGAGCTTCGGATACCGAATCGCCTAACACACGGAGGGTGACGCGTGAGTTCGACGTTGGGTTAGGAGAACGCAGGGGAATGATTGAAGTAATATCTTGTATGCGTGTTTCGGAGATAAAGCACACATCTAAATTGAAAGTTTCGAGGGTTTTAACCGAGGCAGCTTGTTGTCCAATCTGATAGAGTGTGCGGACATTGAACGCGGCTAAGTGAAAAGGAAATTTTAGCTTCAAAAATCCTGTAACTTCTGATTGTTTGGCCTTGCCGGTAAAACGCTGATTGATATTCGATGGGTGGCGTAAACAGGAGACATCTGGGATAAAAGGGGTTATAATATTAAAATAAACCTCTCGGACAGACCCTCTAGAGCGAGGCAGAGCCAAAGTTTGGAGCGGTTGACTGAGTCGAAGGCCGCTTTCAGATCGCAAAAGATAGAAGTCGTGGGTCTAAGACTTGTTCACTCTTCACGAGCGGTAGGCAATCGACGGAGTATGATTCCAGCGAGAAGTTTAGAGACGATGTTGACTAAACTAATTCCTCTGTGGTTTTCACAAGAGAACCTGTGGTCTTTCTTGTGAATCGGTATGATCACCAATTCACACCATTCAGTTGGACCCTGTTCTCTCTTCCACACTGGGCCCAGGAGCTTTGTTAACTCCGAGACTAAGGGTAAAATTCCATCCTTAAGAACCGATGGGGACAGCCCGTCTGGACTGGAGGCCTTATGCCTTTTAAGTTAATGGGGCCTAATAGATTGAAACCGTTCTTGTCAGTGGGCAAAATATCTACGTAAATGGTATTGACTAGCTTAGTGGCACGTGCTAAGCGTATTTGATACCAGAATAAATCAGTAGAAATTAGGTTCATGAAATACTTCTTAAGATAAACGAATATTCTTATCGGTAAGCATCCTCCACTTCCACACATTAAACCCGCTAAGTTCTTGTTGTTACCCTCTCTATTTCCAAAAGCATTTAGGTTTAGCGCATTATAGTACAATACAAGCAACAAGATCTCGGATATGTGATTTGCAAGACTCTCCCATCGCGTGGAGTAGCCGAGAAAAGTATCGTTCCACCTCGTCAAATGCAGTGATCAGCTATGCAAATTTGCGAGGATTACGGTGACTTGCCGGTGAGGTTTCTGAAATAAAAAAGCAGGTTCTTCTAAATGAAATTCGTCGGATGATCGCTAATAAACCAGGTGCGAACGACGAGTAAATTCAGTGAGAAAACCTTGAATGCGTTTGAATGTTATGGACAGAAAAGATTAATTTCGACACCCTGCAATAGGAGTCATGTTTGTGCTTCGCTTGTCATCAAGACCACCACCACCACCACTATTGGGGTTTGACGCTACCATTCCGTCCATCAGCTGATGAGGCACAGAATATGCGCAACAGTAAATTGTCTATCATTCCGAACAAGTTGACTTTTGGCGTACAACCGTCATTTACGCGCTCTACTGAACGCACCTCGCATCAAAACGCGCGCGCACACACATACACCTTCACACGCGTGCGCATATGATCACAGTGTTCTCAACATGAAATGTTACTGCGAACGCACCACGTCAGCATGACTTCCATTCAAGTAGAAGTTACCGTCTAACACGATGAATAGGATGACTCTGTGTGCATCAACCGAGAGGGTGTTCATTCTTGTCCTTCGGGTGCACCGACAAACTGGTTATTAGAAATCAATAAAGCAGCCAATCGAGCCCGTGATACCTGTTATCCAGAAGAAGAAAAATGACTCATCGGGAACTGTGGTGCATCAACAAGTTATCGATGAGCGAGACCTTTGTATTGTTTTCTTAATCTGACACACATTCAATCAATATAGTTCTATGAATAGACTATTCTTAGATTGGATTAAGTTGATCGTTATTATGAAGTGCACGCCTCAAGTACAGTGTTGAGATTGAATGTATCGCCCTTGCTATTTGACGTTCAACATGCGACCGGAACTGCCTATTCAGATTAACTTTTTTTTCCCGTCGTTTTATTCACATCTAGAAGCGGACTAGAGACATTTTAAAAAGCCACATTTGAAGTGTATGGTCAATAACACACATTCCGCTAAACCTGTAGCGGATAAACAGAAAAAACTGTGCTTGTAACAGTTGGCGTTTTAGTTTTTTATTCGTACAGTACGCTTTGGTCTCCCGATTCAGTTGATTACTATTGGTAAAGGTCACCAAGTTTATGCGTGACAACGAGGAGGAGGAACTGATTGGCCGCACTCGGTCATCAATCGCTCCAACATGAGGCACTTTACATAAATGAGGCTTCATGGGATGCAAAAGATAGATTGTGGGCGCAAGATCCCACTTCTAAGCAGCTCTCTTGCGACTCTCGGTTGTCTTTCCTGACTCCATCACACCTGATGCATCCAATGGTTACCATACCTCGGAACTCACTTAGCCAGTGGGGAAAACATGATGGAATTACCTGAGAATTAATAAACCGGATGTGTCGCAGGTTCTCCGACGCACTGGAATGTGAATAAGACTGAGGAAGTGACGAACGTCCTTTCCTATATCCAGAAGTGCCCTCTCTCTCATTGATCCAACTCACACCATTCGGCCGCCTTGGAGTACATAGGCATCGGGGGTAGACCTGAGCTCCAGCCGAGGGCTTCTGTAATTATATCACTTGCATTTCATCAACCTCCACCTTTACAAAATTTCACAAATTTCTGTGTTGGAATCTACGAAGCTATCATACTACCATCAGAATTATCTGTAATTGTACGATAAATACCGGTACCAACGAGGGGTAGAAATGCAATTGTCAGCATCGAAAGAGGTGAGTGAATTCTGCAACAGATAATTCCATGCCAGATTTCCGAGAATTACCCTAGGAAGGCAGTGACACGGAAAACAATATTTTTTGTCGACCAGTTTACTTGCTCTTGTGGCGTACGTTGTGTAGGTTACACCACCAAACGCTTGGCTGATCAAATGAGAGACCACCACCAGCTTGACTCTTTTGAGGACCGATAGGGGCAGGTGCGCATGCGGTTGCTATACATTTACCAGAGACGAGTCACTTGGTGGATTTGGGGAATCGTTCCGTTCAATCTGTTCAATGAGGGGGTTCTGGTCCAAGGATGTTACATCCCAATTGCGATCTACAGAATGAGCAATAGCGATTAGAATAAACAATCCCCCCCGTTTTATGCGCACAGAAACAGCGTGAGAAATCCCTTACCCTCCCTTGACCGTGTCCGAAGTGTCCCCAGTCGAAAATTCACATTCCGCGCGCGAGAGAGAGAGTATTACTAATTATGCGGTCAGTGTAGGAACATCTCCCTCCCAACCATTCAGCTCCCATTTTACATATACTATAAACCTGCTTTGACTGTCTCCCCGTGTTACTTCCCTGAGTGCTGCGATTGGCCAGTAGATAAGGCACTGAAAGTGAGTTTGTTCACCACATCTTTGTGTCTCCAATGAATAAAAAATATTCTCGATCTGTTTGATTCACCCAATATCCACAACCCATTTCTATCAGATGTACTGCCAAGAATTATTTTACCAATTGGAATTTTCTTCTCCAAAATTATGATGCCCCTTGTGTGACTGGGGTTACTTTGAGCAGTAGGGTTTTTCTATCATTCTGTCATTACTACTCATAAATCGGCAAATGAATTGCCCCTACTCCTCCTTCTCCGGCTTATATGCGGCGCCTAGTTATTAAAAAAATGCACAGCCTATGGCATCTTTGAAATCAGCACCGATACCGGCGATACCGAACGAGTTTTCCCAGGGATGATGCAACATGTTTCTTGCCTTCAAGTTTCACCCTAGTTTGGATTCACACTAAACGACACACCGTTTGTTGGGGTCGTATCAAAACGGTAAGGGCATCGGTCTTCCAAATTGTTGGTTGCCCTGTGTTTTTTCTATTTGTCTTGCTGATCAAACATGTGTTGACGCAGGCAGCTGCGCTATCGTCCGGCTCTGTACCACACCTATTCGACCGAGGCCGTGTGTCGTACACCCACAGAACAATTACTGAATGAAAAGATTTCATGTGTATATTGACCTGAAATTGATCTCTCAATCAGCAACCGGTGCCGACACATATACGCATAGTCTACCGTATCTGGCATGTGTAGCTTATAGGAGGTTGTTTTATTATTATTTTTCATCGCGTTAACTGGCGTTCACGTGACCGAACAGTGACCAGACAATGACCTTCACTCGCTCAATCCGCACGTGTATCAGGTGTCTGTAAAAAAAAGATCACCTTTGTCCGTTACCACATACATACAACACATTTGTAGGCACATTTGGCAACCCATTCGGTTATGGCGCAGTTACAAAATGAGTTTCTCCGTTCCTCTCTTTGATTGTTTCTAGATCGATCGCCGATTCCTCCGGTCAGAGTGCTCATGGTTGATAAACTGAAAATGCTGGGAATTCAAATCATATTGCATGGGTCTCTCTGATGACAATATGCTCCTTAGGATCCGTTATGTGCGTTTTGTCCGACTTGCATTCTACGCTCGAAAACAATGAAAATCTCTCCCATCCAAAAGCGGTGCAGATTGGATTCAGATGTGCGTGAAATATATATCATAATAAGTAGTATGTAAATGGCTGGACAAAATCTCCCTGGAAGCACACGACCGGTTTCACGGTTCTTGCCGCTTGTCAAGCATGCGTATCCGATAATGTTTTGTCAGTTCACTCATATACTTATACCCAGGAAGTGTATTTTCGTCACAATAACCTGGTTTGCAACACCGGGTGACTTTTGGATAGACAACTCCTTTAGAGCCAGTCCATTGAAGAATCAATGCTGTAAGCTCCGTGGATCTCTTTTAACGTAAATCTTATCTCGATCTGATTAGTCGCTTGATTATTCACAATCCCAGTTGAGTTGAGCAAAACGTAAGCACTTTATCGTACGCGATACGTATATGAATATCAATGCGGATCTGTAAGAAATAAATAACTAACATTTAGTACACGTAAATTGGAGATTGGCATACATAGTGAGAGGGGCAAGTACTCACATCAAGATATCCCGAGTCCGCGTAAATAAACAACGTAATATGATCCACGTAATAGTCCGGTGTGTAATCAATTGTGTGGGACCGTAGTCACCTAGACTAATGGGCTAATGTCACAAGGTCAAGTACATAGATTGGTTGGGATCACAAATGCACGAACGGGTCAGAGTGGTGAGGTGACAGCCGCGGTGGGTGCGCGTATGATCATATGACTGGTTGCCTTGTCCTGGTGCCTGTCGGCGTCGCATAACTGGTAAGCATTGTCACGGTGTGCGTGCGTGTGTGTTGTGTGTCACATGACTGAATCAACGAGTGTG